AGCACTTGGCGGCCTGGGGCATTGAGCACGGAGCTCGCTCCTCCGCCCTCGTGTTGAGTGGCTGTGTGTTGGGTCTTGCTCGTGGCTGGACCCCAGAAGAAGTAGGGATTTATAAATAAAGATGCAGGAAAGGCTGTTGGGGAACAGGCACCGCGAGGCTCCCAGGTGCCGGCAGTGCTGGCAGTGAAAGCCGTCGGTGCTCAGTGTTGGTGCTTTCCGAAAGCAGGGAAAAAGCTCATCCGTGAGAAGATACCAGTCCCTGGTAAGTGTTCACTGCACCTTGTAAAGGTAAACACATCCTCCTGGCAGAAATCAGCCTCACATTTCAAAAAATGACCAGAATCACGGTCATTAGAGCAGCGTTAGCATCACCTCCCCGAGCACGGAAGCGAGTGGTTCACAGTAAAACTGCTCCCACAACTGGGAGATGCCTCAGAGGAGGCAGAGGTACTTCGTGGTTTTTTAAGATTTTAAGGTGCATGTTAATGGAACTCGCCCAGCTCCGTGTTTTGTTACGTGAGGGCTTAAACTAAGGCTGGGATGAGTGTCAAGATGATACATCTCCCAGGAGAACACCTCTTTTTTGCTCCCTCATTGTTTGAAAGCATGGCCGGGCTGCGAGCCTAGGGGTGGACGTGGGGTGCTGTGCCCCCGACACCCCCTCGCCTACCGGAGGGTCCAGGGGTTAGTGCCTTGGCCGCTGACAGCCCTGGAGGTCCAATATTTGAGAGGGCTCTCGGGCTGTGTGGAGGCAGCGTTGAGCCCTTCCGGAGCAGGAGCCGGTTCTCCTGCCGGGGAATCGCCCTGGGAGCAGCTCAGGGGCTTCATCGCTAAAGGACGTGGCCTCGTCTACCTGCCCGCGGGAGGGGAGCGTGGGGGCATCGCTGGGAGGGTCCCCGAGTGCCGGGGGGGTTCCTGGCCCGGAGGAGCCAAATCCACCCTGAAATCCCGCGGGAGTGCCTGGGAGCTGCGGCCGGGGCTCAGCCCCTCCCGGGGGCTCTGCAGAAATAGCGGGAATGTTTTATTTTCAGGTTTTAAGCATGTGACGTAACTTTTTCCTTCTTTTTGGAAGGGGGGGGTGGGGGGCGAGTAGGTAAACGATTGTTCCCTGCAAGCACAAATGTATTTTGTTTGTTGTAATTAAAATGTTTTAATGAGACAACCATAAAATCAACCATTAATTATTTTTTTTTCAAACACTTCTGCTTCCTTTTGAGCTAGGTCTATTTAGAAATAGTTTAGAGAGTAGCCTGCAGTTTTATTCTTTCTTCGGTATTATACACAGGAGTGGAGAAGTCATTTATAAATAATTACACAATGTTTTGGGTCTTTGGGTTTGTATAATATATCAAAGCGATTAGTACACGCATTGTTCCATTGTAAATGGTTTTTTTCCCCTTCCTTTCAGTTTCTCTTGCCTTGTCTTCTATCTAAACCTTTTTCGTGAAATCCTTTGTCTTCCTCATTCTTTTAGCTTGTTACAGTGCAGGGACATTCTTCTTATTCAAACACGCACAGCGTGAGCAAAGAAAGCTACTTCTGTCGCATCTTAAGTTTTACCATAACTTTCTGGCATTTTCTTTTCTTCCAATTTTCCCAGACTACTGATAGGGTAATGAAGAATTATAACATACATCAATTATTGGTGCTCACGGTGTATTATGCTCCTGAATTCAAGGGGAGATAAAGAAGGGGGGGGGTGGGAGGGGGGAGAAAAAAAAAAAAAAGCGTCACTTTCTGTGGTTTTGAGGCACATGAGAGAGGACTCGGCGCAGATTATTTATAACATCTCTCCGAGCATCAATTATGTTTGACTCCTACAACCACTTCCTTGTCCCACTGGTTTTATGGCCAGAAGGAGTCATTTTTGTGTGTGGTAGCTGCGGCATTTAACTTGTTTCTTTTATGAGGAGCCCAAACAATGCATCTTCGGGCCAAACAATCTATCTCCCGGAATAATAGCCCAAATGTCAGTCAAGCGCTCAGGGCTGGGAAATATATGAGCATGGCAAAGGGCCACGGGAAGAAAGCGTGGGGATGGAGGGGTTTGCGCGGGGTCCTCGTGCGGGTCCCCGGCGCAGCGGTGCCGTCTCCCCGTGTTTTGGCACCGGGTACCCCTAGGATGCTGGGCTGGACCCGGTGGCGGGATGCAGGTGCCCGGGGATGCAGCCGGCTGCCTGAGGTTCCGACAACCCTAATCCGAGTTATCCAAGGAAAAGGGCCAAACCCTCCCGGTGTGGTCAGGCGCCGGGGCACGCTCCCTGCCTGGCCCTGCCCCAGCCTCCCGGCTAGCACATTAACTGGGAAAAATGAGATTAGGATGTCACCTCCGAGAAACGAGCCCTTTTTTTTCCCCCACCTTATTGTGCGAGAGGTTTTTCTTCTCCTTTTTCCCCCCCTTCCACCTTCTCCCGCCCACAGTTCCCCCTCTTTTGTTGATTCGCATTTTGTTAATTGAAGCTAGAACGCTTCTCCTAAAAGAAAGGGACAAAATTCATCGACCCCCGTGCGGGTGAAATCCCCCCAGCAATGTGCAAAGCAGGAAGCTGAACTACATGCTGAGATGCTCAGGTTTTCCTTTGTACATCCCATA